CTGAGGAATGCAGCTCAGTGGGAGATCACTCCTGGTTCAGGCCCCCAATACCACAGAAAATAAATAAACAAATAAACAACAACAAAATAGCTGGGGGGTTAGAAATTGAGACTAGTTCTTATGTTCAAGATAGAGAAGTTTCTCATAGGCGTCAAGAGGGCAGGCAGGCTTATTAAAATGGAAAGCCCTTTGAAAACATTTAAATGTCTGTGTAAAGATTGCTGAAAATAGGGGACTCAGTATATAGCTCCGTTGGCAGAGTGCTTGCCTTGTATCCACAAGGCCCTGGGTTTGATCCTGGGTTTGATCTTCAGCACCACACACACAAACAAACAAACAAACAAACAAAAAAATGAATACTGAAAATAATTGGATATTAAATATATCAATTCCTTTGCTAATACTAAAGAAGTATTCCTAAAATTAAAAAATTGATTGATGAATGTCATAACAAAATTCAGTTGAGTTTAACATTTAAATAAATGTTTGACTTGGTATGTAGTTTGAGAAAGGAATTCGTAACTCTAAGACCAAATCAATATATTTGTTTTATATTTTTCCTTATTCTTCTAAAGTGGCTTTCTCTCTCTCCCTTTTTTTTTTTCGGGGGTGGGGGATAGGCCGGGGATGTTGAGGATTGAACCCAGGGCTTTGGGCATGCCGAGCACTTGTTCTACTGTTGAGGTATACATGTACATCATAATGTGGGTTATTCTAGCGCCCCCCCCCCCCCCCCCATATCTTTTAATTCTTAATGTTATTTATTTATTTATTTTAGTGATACTGGAGATTAAACCCAGTGCTTCCTGCATGCTAGGCAAGTGTTGCACCGCTGATCACTGCCCCAGACACCCTTTTAAAAATTTTATTCTGAGGAAAAGTTTTGTTCAGTTGCTAAGGCTTGCCTGGAACTTCTGTTCATCTTATTCAGCCTCCCAAATAACTGGTATTATGGGCCACTAGCTGGGATTATTAAAACTCCCAGTTTTAATCTGATTTTTTTTTTTTTTTTTGATTTTTTTTTAAATAATGAAAGTGTTTACTTTTTCTTTATCCCAATTGGTTAAATATGTGTTCAATTTGTGAGTGAACCCATCCTTTGCTTTTGGATTATTTTTCTGTTTTCAGAAATAGAAGCCATAAGATTAAAAAAATGAGGCTAAAAAGAACAAACATACTTCCTGTAAAAAGTCTCTAGAAATGAAGTCAAAAGATAAGAAATTGGGAAAAAATATTTCTAACACTACCAAGTAAATGTTAATCCTCATTAATATATAAAAATCTTCTAAAACATTAAGTCAGGAAACTCTAGTTAAAAATGAGTCATGGGGACTTGGGTTGTGGCTCAAGGGGTAGAGTGCTTACCTAGCATGCGTGAGGCACTGGGTTCGATCCTTAGCACCTCATAAAAATAAGATAAAGATATTGTGTCCACCTAAAACTAAAAAGTAAATATAAGGGAAAAAAATGAGTCAAGGCATGAATAGGTAGTTCACAGGAAAACAAATGGCACTTAAATGTGAAAGAATATTCAAGTTTATTTTAAGAGAAGAGTAAAACAAAAGCACAGAAAGTTAATATTTGAGAACTTTGTGTGGAGGCTGGAAAGATTGTAGAATGTTACAGTGCAAAAATATGAACAGCATTTTTGACATTTATCAGAATTAAAGTTTTCTATTTTTTTTGATCTAGTGATCTCTCAGAATGATCCTATATATCTGCAAATTTGATACAAAAATTGCATATGTAATCTTGGATTTCTTTGTGTGTGTGTGTGTGTGGGGGGGTACTGGTGGTTGAACCTAGAGAGGCATTCTACCATTGAGCTTCCTCCCCAGGTCTTTTGATTTTTATTTTGAGAGTGTCACTGGGTTGCTCAGAGTGGCCTCAAATTTGCTATCCTTCTTCCTCGGCGTCAGTAGCTGGTATTATAGGCATGCATCACCATGTCTCATTTGATAACATTTATCAAATGTAGTAAAATAATGAAAGATAAGGAACAACCCAAGAGACTGGATAAACTGATGCATTCACACAATGGAATACTAGAATGCTGTAATATTCAGTGAGGAAACAGTCTATGAAATAATAGGAAATTTAAAGAACATTAATTGAAAAACGTAAGGTGTGTAAAAGGTACTACATAAAGCTTCCTTTCTGGTGGAAAATGGATGAACTATATGTGTTCAGGGATTTTTAAAAAAATTGATACTGCAATGTGAAATTAGTCATCTTTAAGTGCTGGGATAATGGGGCAGGTATATCCAGGGTAAGAATAAGAATTGTTTTTTGGTACATTGGATTGAACCCAGGGGTACTCGGCCACTGAGCTATATCCCCGTCCCTATTTTTTATTTTATTTAGAGACAGGGTCTCAATGAGTTGCTTAGCACCTTGCCATTGTTGAGGCTGCCTTTGAGCTGGTGATCTTACTGCCTCAGCCTCCCGAGCAGCTGGGATGACAGGTGTCTGCCCCCTCGCCTGTCATAAGAATTTTCTATGTACAGTTGGAGTTCTTTTGGTAGAAGACTTGATATACCAGTATTTGTAAGGTTCAGGTGATTTGTTTTTTTCTTTTTTCTTTTGCGATAAGTATGCATAACATAAAAAATTTGCCATTTTTACATTTTTGTAGTATAATTCATTGGCATTTTTCTTTCTTTCCTTTTTTTTTCCTTTTGTTTCCTTTTTTCTTTTTTTTTTTTTTTTTAGGTCTGAGGATGGAACTCACGGCCTCACCCATGTTAGGCAAATGCTGTATTGCGAAGCCACATCCCCAGCTCTTTTTATTTTTTATTTTTGAAATGTGTGAACATATTACTTACTTTAAAATAATTTTCTAAGAAAAATGACATAATGCTTTTTATTTATTTTTTCCAGTGCTGGGGGTTGAACCCAGGGCCTTGCCTGGTGGTCTACCAATAAGCTTCATCCTCAGCCCAATACCTTTAATGTTTGCTATAGTATTTCATATGTATACTACTATATGTTTCTAAGGTGTATTATGTATAAACAATTATACATAATAACATACTTTTTAGTAGATTGGATGAATCTCTTAAAATCAGTGAACTTCTACCATAGTCATAGAGGTCAGAGTGTCATATATTTTAGAATTTGTAGTGATTCGTTTGCTCTGCATTAATACTTGGGGGGGCGGTCTGTGTTAGGTTGGAAAAATTTAAGTTGGTCTGCTGTTTTGCATTGCAATGCTTTTTTGCACTCTGATTTACTGTCAGCTTGGTAGAGATTTGGTTGTGGCTGCCACTATGTAAATTCAAAGAGGATGTCAACAAAGGATTTTTGTCCTTTGGAATGCTGTGACTCCAGCTCCTCTAACTGCCTGGTACATAGTAGATTCATAGTAAATGTTGAATAAGCATAAATAATGGATCTCTTACCATGTACATAATACCCTGCATATCATCCCATAAATGTAAATAGCATGTTATATATGTCTCATATGTTCATTTTTAGGTACTTGTACTAGTAACTATGTATGATAAATTTTTCAGTAAATGGTATGCATATTCAAAAATTGGATTTGATTACCCTTTGAAAATGTACCAATTTTACTGTCCCTCACAGATTACATATATTTTTCAAATCTATACTACATGCAAATGGTAAATAGTATAAAATTCAATTTTTATAAAGTTGATCTAGGTGTAAATTTTCTTCCCAATCCTGATTTCTTAGTCCTCAACATTTTTTCCTTTTCCTCAAGATTATATGTACTATTAATTTCATGTTTCACCTTTCACAGATAGTTTCTGCAAATACGACAATAGTGTTATTATTAAGTCTACATATTATAGAAACAATAACTTGATAGGAACTGAAAAGTAACACTTAAGTCCCATTTTTGATAGTGATATGTAAGGAAAAATGCAGGAGTAAATATATGAGTAATAATATACAATAAACAAGTCATTCATACCAACCATGCAGGGATGGTTTAATTTTAGGAAATCTGTTAGGTCAGAGGAAAATAAAATTATATGTGTAGCTCTATAAATGGAATTTCTTCTTAATACTTTTATTATATAATTCATTTTTAAGTCATTGATCATTTGGATCTTATTTTGATCGCAGCAGCTGTATGAACTTAAATTGTCAAGTGATTGGACCAATGTATCAATTACTGTTCATCTTTATAGCTTTTGACTTCCTTACTTTAAGAGTTTACTAAAGTCATCTTCATCTTGAATGTTTTCACTATTGTGTTTTGTGTTAATTCTATCTGGCCCTTTTATCTTTCCCTTCTACTACTTTATGTCTAGCAGCTGTCCTATAAGGTTGTCACATATATGGATCTTTCTAGTAGAATTTACCTATAAAAATTAATATGTAGTGAAAAAATAAATACGTAGCAGGATTATTTTAACTATAATGTTTATAACAGTATAACAGTAGCAGAGCTACATTAAAAACTGCATTTGGTAATATTTCATGATCTGTGCTTTCTTGCATGCCAATTGCTGCAATTTTTTTTTTTTTTTTTTTTTTTTTGGTACTGAAGATTGAATTCAGGGGCACTCCACCACTGAGCCACATCCTCAGCCCTATTTTGTATTGTATTCAGAGACAGGGTCTCACTGAGTTGCTAAGCCCCTCTCCGTTTTGCTGAGGCTGGCTTTGAACTTGAAATCCTCCTTTCTCAGCCTCACAAGCCACTAGGATTACAGGTGTGCGCCACCATGCCTGGTTGCAAATTGCTTTTGTTCTTGGTTGAGTGATAAATAATTTTTATGGGTTATGTCATGACCATTATATTCATAATGTTCTGCTTTGACATGGGTCTTTCCATGGCTTAAATAAGATCTCTTTTTCATACATAAGTCTTTCAGTTTTATATTTTAAGTAGCATCAGTTTTAGCATTTATCGTGACTGGACTGAATGTCATAATATTTGGCTCTTAGTTTGAAATGAAAATGTGTAGATACATTATTTATGTAATATAATTTATCTAACAGTTTACTTATTAACACGTCTTTAGGTTGTCCCTTTCACAAATAATGGTGCAATGAAAACTTGATCCGTGTGTCCTTGTGTGAGTATTTCTAATAAGATTTCTATCTAACTAGAATAAGATATATTCCATGCTTGTATAATTATATCCAAATGGGTTCTGCTCTTAGGAATAACTAAAAAAAAAACAATCAATTTTTAAAAATGCCAAAAAAACCCCCAAACAAACCTAAAACAAAGATTTCTATATGATGCATCTTTGGAAAAGCTGGTAAAAATATGAGCAGCTTTTATTTATTAAAATTCCTTTCACATTGCCTTCCCCAAAATGTTTTAATTTATACTACATAGTTTTTACCTAACCCCTTTATAGTTGCTTAAGAAATTTCCTTGTGCTTACCTAGAATGCTTAAGGCCTTGGGCTTGATCCCTGGCACTAGGGGGAAAAGTAAAAGAAAATAAATTTCCTTCAAAATTACCACAATATGGGCCATTTAACGGGTATTTTGACAATGTATCACATAACAATTTCTCCAAAACTTCCCTTGCAGAACGATCTCACTGGGAAATTATAAATTTCATTCACTTTATTTAATTTGTAAAGTCTAGTTTTTAGCACACAGAAAAGTCAAAATTTGTGTTATTTATTGGTTAAGATGGGTGGGAGGTTGGATGTTCTTGTTCTCTTTATTTAAAATTATGTTTCAGAATAATTTTTGATATATGGAAAAGTTACAGAGATTGTACAGAGAATTCCCATTACATTAGTCTGGTGCTTTTGCCACTTCCACAATTGCCCCTCATCCCAGCTCTTGATAACCTCTAGTATATTTTAAATTTCTGTGAATTTTCTTATTCTAGGTACCTCATATAATTGGTATTGTGTTCTCCTTTTGTGTGTAATTTCTCTTAGCACAGTGTTTGAGGTTCATCTCTGTTGTAGCATGTTAGAACTTCATTCTTTATGATGGCTGGAAAATATTTCATTATATATTTTCATGCCATTTTGTTTATCCATTGGTTTTGTTTATGTACTATTGTTTATATATATGTCACATATACATTAGTATAGATGTGTTTATATAAAGCATTTTGTTTTTCTGCTATTTATGGCTAGTGCTGCTTTAGAACATACATGTAATGCTTTTCTTTTTCTTTTTCTTTTTTGGTACCACTGAACCGCATCCCCAGCCTTTTTATATTTTATTTTGAGACGGGTCTTGCTAAGTTGAATAGTGCCTCACTAAGTTGCTGAGGCTGGCTTTGGACTCCCAGAACTCCTGCCTCAGCCTCCCGAGCTGCTGGGATTATAGGCGTGTGCCACTACTTTCGGCTGTAATGCTTTTCTTAATTGTTCCCACATCTTATTAAGGTAATTAATTTGGTCACGTAAAGTGTATATTAGAGAATTATTTAACTCTTGGAATAAAAATTTAAAATTGATGCTGACCTATTAAGATACAACTTTGATCCACTGTAATTATGAGGTAGTCATATCAGTATTAGTATATGTTATCCAAAAATTAACACGAACATTTTCTTATTCTGGTTATGATATCTTTGGCATCATTGCCTGTTCTTCTTGATTAAAATGAAATAATCTTATTGAGTAAATAGTGGTATGTAATTTAAAAATATCTTCTTTTAACTGTCTTTAATATAGTTAGGTGTGTTCTGTAAAATTGATGTCAACTCCCCGAATCTCTATTATTTTCTTTCCTTTTTTTTCTTCCTGTTCTCTGTATTCTCTTGAGGGCCTCTAGTTAATTTCTGTAGGGAAGAATATGTTTAAATCTATATCTGTCTCTCAGGTTTACATGGATTCTTTTTCGTTTACCCCAATATACTATGTCTAAAAAATTATAATAGATATAGTTACTCATTTTCAAAAATTTGAAAAGGAGCATATCACAATTAATGAAAGCATTTGTAGAATCTCATATTTGTACTGTATTTCTTTTTAATGTGTACATATCATTAATGTTTTAAGATGGCTCTTATGAGAAAATTTTCCTGTCTTTAGATATATGAGTACATAAAGATATCTTAATTTGGATCATGATTGATTTATTTAGAACATTTCCATCCTTTTTAGTCATTGGGAGAGTTTTTAGTTTGAATATAACAGTGCAGTTAGCATATTCATTGAAAACATGTTTGTATGCATATGTCCCTGACAGTTTCTTTTATTATAAACTGAAGTTATTAGAGACTTGATTTGACTTTTTTTTTGGTATTTATTTATTTATTTATTCGTTCATTCATTCATTCATTCAGTGTCTTGAATACCTGAAGAGAGTGAGGAGTAATTGCCAGGGGTAATTAGACCGCTATTAAATAGATATTAGTCACATATTCACACTTCATTCCTTCACACTTTCTTCATTCTTCCTACTGAAACACATAAGCTTCCTGTGCCCTGCTATTATGTACCATTCTTTGCCTTTTGTTCAGCACTTTTTGTTTACTAGGATTGGGTTCTGTTCATTTCTCTTTTATTGGATGATTTTCATTTTTTTCTCATTGTGCTGGAGGTTAAACTCAGAGCCTCATCCTTGGTAGGTAAGCACTTTATCACTGAACTATGTGCCTTGCCCTCACTGGGTGATTTTAATGTTTGCAATATGATTCTGCCCTCTTGATCTGCTTTTCCAGCACTTTGTACCAAATACAACTGCATTCATTCCTTCACATTTAAATACCTATTAATCATATCTCATCTACTTGTTATGTTATAGATAACAGTGTTTTTTTGTATAGTATTGTTTTTTATATTATTGTCTTTTGATAATGATAGTGACCATTACCTGAGCACACTTTAAGTGTTTAACATGTGTAATAATGGTTTTTATGGAAGTAAATTCTAATTTGATCTCTTAATTTTTCAGATCGGGTAATTGAGGTCAAATACACTCAGTAACATTGCTCCCAAATGTCAGAGTGAAGACTCTCTCTCATTATCAATGATGCTTAAGTTGGAGGTAAAAGTGAGGTCCTCTTCAATTTCTTGTGATGATTGTGCTTCTAGGAATATCAGCAAAGGAGAAACAGAAAAGTTTATAGCATAGTAACATTATGATTAACTGCTAGTAGAACACTTGAATGTATCGATTATCTCCACATTTGATTTTCAAACCAGGCAAGTACATACAGAAGTGACCTTTATTGGGTGTTTTGTTTTGTTTTAGTACTGGGGGTTGAACCCAGGGATGTTTTACCAATGAGCTAATACCCCAGTTCTTTTCATTTTTATTTTGAGACCAGGGCTTGCTAAGTTGCTGAGGCTGACCTTGAACTTATGAACCTTCTTGCTTAGCCTCTTGGTTATTATAGGTGTGTACTACCTTGCCTGTAACAGAAATAACCTTTAAAACGCCATTTCTTCCTCAATGTTGGTTCATTTTTTAGGAATAGTCAGACCTGTAAATAATTCTAATTGTCTCTAATTGATTCAATCATCTCACCAACTCCAATGTTAACTGTTGTTTTCATTACATTTCAAAGATAGGACATCAAACAAATGGAAGTTTAGAACTTGGTCAAGAACGGCTAGCTACTGTAAGCCATTTTTGAACCCATGTCTTATGGAGCAAAAGCACAACCTTTTTCTGTTTTTTTTTTTTCCCCCCCTGAGCGGTATTGGGATTTGAACCCATGGCTCATGCATGGTAAGCAAGCGCTCGACCACTGAACTGCATCCCTAGCTCCTCTTTTTGAAAAAAAACTTCAATATCAGGTTTTGGTAAGTTGCCCAGGTGACCTCAAACTTAGTCCTATTGCCTCAGTCTCCTGAATAACTGGACTGATAAGTAACCTAATTCTTAATTGTTCCAGTTGTTGTATAGTGTCATCTTTGGACTTTTCTAGAATCCCTTGATGTTGCTGTTGTTTCTTCTCATGACGAATGTCTCTTATAAACACGTTTCTGCAGCTTAACTTCACTCCATGTAAGAATCTTTTTAACATGAGACTTGTTCCATAGGGTTCCATTGGCTTTCCAAGTTAGAGGATTGCTTTTTGATTCTTTCGTTTGGCTATTAAGACAGATTCTTAGAGGAGTTTACCTGCCATTAAGTCAGCTGTTTTGTCCTAGATGTTTCTTTCCACATTCAGTTCCCTTTACCTTCAGATCTTCAGCCTCCATTTAACTTCCTATCTTATGCACTGAGCATTGCAGAATTATGTCAGATGAGGAATCATTCCATCAAGTAACCGGGAATATTGCTGTGAAGAGGTCTGTCTTTTTGTAAGAGGGGTGAGTTTTAATTCATTTAAGCTATAGAACAAGTCATAAATTGTAATGCATTGCTTAATTGTCTTATTTATAAAGAAAACCCATTAATAATATAACTATTATTCCAAACCAAACATTTTATGTCTATGTACCTGTTTATTATTATCTACTCTAGGCCTTGTACATAGTCTCTTCTCCACATCCTCTAACGATTTTATTATTAATATTAATATCACATACATTGTACAGATAAGTGTGAATTTGAGAGGAAATAATTTGGACAAGATCCGAATGCCCCTGCCTCCCTCCTTTTTGTACTAGAAATTGAACCCAGGAGTGCCTAACCACATCCCTAGGACCCCCTCCCCCCCTTTTTGTGGTGCTGGGAATGGAACCCAGGGCCTTGTGCATTCAGGGTAAGCACTCCACCAACTGAGCTATATCCCCAGCCCCCCTAGCCCCTTTTTAAAATTTTATTTTGAGACAGGGTCTCACTTAGTTGCTTAGTGCCTCACTAAGTTGCTGGCTTTGAACCTGTGATCTTCCTGCCTTGACCTCCTGACCCACTGGGATTACAGGTGTGCGCCACCACACCTGGCTCAGAATGCCTTTAAGTTATGGTTTATATTTAAAGGCCCAATTCATAGCATTTTATGTAGCCCAAGGAAGCTTCAAATTGTTTAGAATGTAACTAAGGAAAAGAAGTGTGGATAATCTTCATATACTTAAATTTCCCAATATTTGCCTAATAAGATTATATATAAATACTGACATGACATACTGAGAGGGTGCTCCATAGTGATTTAGGGAGCCCTTGGTAGGTTTCCCCCATTTATCTTTTTTTTTTTTTTAATTTTTTAGTTGTAGTTGGACACAATACCTTTATTTTATTTATTTATTTTTATGTAGTGCTGAGGATCAAACCCAGGGCCTTGCATGTACTAGGCTAGCACTCAACTGCTGAGTCACACCCCCAGCCCTCCCTCATTTATATTTAGCCTGATACAGTATCTCCAGAGTCCTCTCATTATCCCAGTGCCAATGGAAGTTAGAAGTTGCTTTGTTTCACCCTGAGCCCTGAGCAATGCCAGACATCACAGATTATAATCATTTACTGTGCCATTGGATGCCTAATGTCCCCTTATACTAAACCTTAGCTGGGAGGCAATTTCCCATATAGTGAGTAAGGTGGTATGGCAAGAGCTGATTTGGCATTAGACTTTGACATTTTGTGCAGCCTTCTGCTTCTTCAGAAGACCTGTTGCATCTTTAGAAAATTGATCCAAGTACTTTGGGGCCACTGCTACCCCATGTTCTGGGTTTGGCAGTACCCTTACAGAACCTCAAGGTAAAGGGTATGTGGTTTGAGAAGGGAAATATGCAAGTCCATAGTGTATGGTATGAGCTCAACAGATTACCTGATTAGGCCTCATCAGTTTTTAGGTGTGACCACTGAGACCTGGGGTTTAGTGTGGCGTGGCTTCTATAGGCTTCTGAGAAGTAGGTTCAGAATTCAAGCAAATTGCATTAGCCCATCCGATACTTTTCCTTTTTGAAGTTGAAGGGTTTTAAGAGTCTTAACTTCTCATTTATTAAGTAACAGAAGGGAAATAGTAGGAGCCAGATAGTGAATTGATAATATGTGGGTAGGGAGGATAGCTAGGGGTGGGAGCCTAAGGATTTGGGACAAGAGGGAAAGATGATCCATCTGGAATCTGTTTCAGAGAAGAAAAAGCTGCATAGTGCTTTGAAGACATTGAGCATCATTCCAAGAAGAAACATGATCTCAGCAGTCATCTTCAAATCACCCCCAATCCTGCCCCCATCTTGTTGAGAAAGCATAGCCCCACTTTTACCTATTTAATGCTGGTTCTATATATTTCGTTGTGTGTGTGTGTGTGTGTGTGTGTGTGTGTGTGTGTGCGTGCGCGCGCGCACGTGCAGCAAGCTGAAACATTGAGTAAGGGAACATTCTTTTAGTTCCCTAGAGCAGAGTAGAAGGGAGTGTTTTTCTTTGTTATTGGAATGTGGTGCCAAGGGAAGCAGCAGAGGGGGAGGTACTTGGGAAGGAGCAGCATGGGGGAAGGATGCATATCCTGTAGAATCAGTGGTCACAGGTTTTTATAAAACATCAACTGTTCCCCACCCCACCCCCAGTGATAGTTGTAGTTCTATTGCCTAGCCCTATCTAACAAGTATTGTGGTTAGTAGCAGTGACTTTGAGGAAAAAAATTACTCTTTTGCAACTTCCCATTTCACTTCCAACTTGGTCAGTATGCTAAGTAAGAAGTTCCAAGTTGTGATGGCAAAATTATTATATCCAGACTTACTCTCTTCCCCTTCCCTAGCTTCTAGTGCCTTATTTGGTTTGATGTGCTCCTGTGTCCTATCAGTGCTTTCTGAGTACTTTTATGTTCAGTTTCTGGGTTGATGGGATAAGAGAGAGAGTAAGGCTAAAATGGGGAAGTTGGGCTTTGTTAAAATCTTAATGATTTCTTGTGGATTTCACATTTCAGAAGATACTATTATACAACTAAAGATATTAGGGACCCTCTGCTTCAACAACTTGGCTTTAAGTACCCCTCATTTCCCATGTTTTACACTTGATATGTTTAAGAAAAGTTAACTGAATAGTTTCATTGATCCCAGAACTATGTTCACCCCAAAGAGGAAGCCAATCCTTTTCAAAAAAGACGCAAATACCTCCATAAGATGATAAATACCAATGTCCATTTTCTCCCCAGGGAATAGTACACCATTTAAACTAGGCCCTTAGTCACCTATATGTAGTACCGGTGAAACTCCAGGTGTCCCTTTTTATGGAAACTAGAAAGGGTATCTTTATCTTAATCCTGCTTCTCAGAAGCTTCTGCTTTGCACTGTCGGGCAAGTGCCCCAACACATGCTACTATTCTGATCTCTTCATGTTTATTTTGGGGATTTGTTGCATATTAGATTTTAAGTTAGTACAGTAGTGCAGTTTGTATTTTGAGTTAGGGGGTCTTATCTGGGATTCCAAAATAAAAGATTTAAGAAATTCCATGCCTTGTTAGGACCAAGTATGTGGTAAAGATTGTAGCGTGATGATTTTGTACCAGAAGGATTCTTGTGTCAACCTCAATGTCTGCAAAAAGTTTTTCCAATGAAGAGAACAAAGAATACCCCTCAATTCATCTGGAGGAGGAATGAGCCTGAAAATAGCGCCCTCTGCTTGTGCTGCACATAGCCAAATCAGCTCTATGATGCCCAGAAACATTGAGAAAGGTAATCCCCGTACACTGCCAGATGGAATGGCCAGTGCAACTAGTGTTAAGTTATCAGTCTTTTGATTGGATGAGATATTTATTTTCCTCAGTTTTTAGGGCCCTGAAAGCTTCCTTTGCACTTACCAGTTCAAATTCCTACACTACCACATGTTAAAAATAGTCAAGAAAACAGTGATTTATTTTAGCTTCTAAAGTTACATAGTGGCACTGGTAAATGAACCTGCTTCAAAATCTTTTAATTTAGACCCTAGCTCATAAAATGTTTTCAACCAAAAAGGATTGGGTTTTATGCATGGGGTACTACATGTAGTCTGGGGGGTGCTTTCCCACAAGTGGGGGGGGAATAAATACTTTTTTCTGTGTCCTTGGAGTGAGGGTGGGATCCACGTATATACTTACCTGTTTGGCTGTCTGCATAATGCGAAGGAGCCCCATGTTGCAGCACAGAAGATTTTTCATCGTTGGATGTTAAGGTTAGTTTTCTTTCATTGGTCCTTCTCTAACTTGGACTAAAGTGTGTAATGTAGAAATACATAGGTGTCCATGTTATTTTAACATAGAAATCTGGGACTTATCAGAATATTAAGTGTTCTGTGACAGCTAATAAAAAATCCAGAATTGCCTAATTATAGCACTTAATAAAGTGTTAACTAAGATGATCTAGACAGCAGAACTTTGGATGAGTGTTTACCATCACTATCAGAAAATACACAACAGTACTAAATCCTAAAAAGTTGATGGATTTTTTTTTTTTTTTTTTTTTAAATAGAAATTCTTTGCTATCTTGTCCAGACTGGCCTCTATCTCATGGCCTCCTACCTTAGTGTTGCTTGGAATGCAGGTGCACTCCACTGCTTACCTTATTGGAATTCTTAATGATTTGTGCCCATTTTTACTTGCTTTCTGAAAAAGTTCTGATATAATTTTTTTCTGGTACGGAGTGCTCCTGCTCTTGGGGAGCCATATGTTTGCCTATTGGTGAAATGATAGATCTAAGGGTAATTTTTCTGCAAGTGGGCATGAAATTGTTTATTAAGAGCAGTAAAATTTTTTGCCTCTTTGCCAACTGGGTACCATCTGTTGTGGTTCTGAAACTTCCCTTGGTTGGCTAGTTCATATTTGAACCAGTTAATAATTCTACTATGTTAAGTGACTTACTGTTGTCAAACAGTCTGTCGAGGACATAAGGTTAAACAGGCCAAGACTTAACGCTGGTAGTATAGCTAAGATTTCTTACCAGTTTTTCATAAATACTTGTGAAATATTTTGGCTCCTAAAGAGGAATATTGCTCCCCTATCCTGTTTTAATCATTGTGCATCTGCCCCTCCAATGTATTTAAAGGATACTACAGTACACGCTACTTTGCTACAGAATTGCCAATATACACTGTTGGAGAACTACTATCCTGAAGTAGGGTAAACAACTTTAAAAAGTTAATACTCTACTTTCTAGCTTCATTGATATTTCAAATTGGATTTAAACCCAATTGACAGCTAAACTAGGCAAATGGAGTATTCTGGAGTAGGATTATAATGAGTTTTCCATTTTTGACTCCTGTATGTATGGAAACAATGGAATACTTTCAAATACAGTTGCATGGGTTTAGCTTTTAGAAATAACTTGTATAGAAGTGTCTTCTGAAGTTTAAACCCAGTGTGTTTAGCAGTACATTGTTTTACTAGTAATAAAACCAAAAGGGCTTACTTTCAGGAGATGCATGTTCATACTCATTTGTACATAGTGATTGTCTAGTTATACTACCTTTCTAGGTGCACTGTCCTTCATTTACATTTAACTAATCCATCTAGCTAGTAGGCATTTTTATTTCCATCCTGTGCAATAAATTTGCTCAATAAGATGAAAGATTTGCCTGTTTTTTGTTTTTGTTTCTCCTTTAGTACTAGAGATTGAACCCAGGATAGCTTTACCACTGAGGTACATCCCCGACCTTTTAAAAAAATTTACTTTGCGACAATCTTGCTAAGAAATTTAGGCTGGCCTCAAACTTGTGATCTTCCTGTCTTAGCCTCCCAAGCTTCTGGGATTACAGGCATATGCCACCATGCTCATATTGGCACCTGGTTTTGAAATGGTAAACTACTAATAGGATCATTCATAGTCCCTATTGTAAGTTTCATTACCATATGTCAGTTTTGTGTGGGATATTTAGTCTTGTAATTTGAGAAACTGATAATGGATACACATCAAACTTGGTTACCTATAGTTTGTCAAATGTGTTATCAACATTTGTGTTACTAATGTAAAGTCTTAAATTTAGCCAACTACATTCTACAGATTATACAAAGAACTCTCTAATTTCTCAGTTGCCACATTAGGGAGGACATTGTTTGCAAATTTCTAATACTTAAAAATCACAATGTATTAGGTTTCTTCTCTTCCAGGGTCTTTTTTGTTGTTTCTTTATCCTGGAGTTTTTTGTTTTTTTTTTTAATATTTGTTTTTTGGGTGGACACAATATTCTTTATTTTATTTTTATGTGGTGCTGAGAATTGAACCCAGGGCCTCATGCATGCTAGGTGAGCACGCTACCACATCCCCAACCCAATCCTGGAGTTTTAACACAGGCCCTCTATTACTGAGCTATACCACCAACCCTTTTTCTTTTATTCTTTTGGTACTAGGGATTGAACTCAGGGGCATATTACCACTGAACTACTTCCTCATCCCTTTTTATTTTTATTTTGAGACGGGGTCTCACTAAGTTGCTGAAGCTGGCCTTGAGCTTGAAATACTGCCTCTGCCTTCAGAGATGCTGAAAATACAGGCATGTCACCACTAGCTATTAAAGGCTTTTGAACTAAATTATTCAATGTAAATGTATTTTCATAATTTATGTACCTATATGCTTTTTAAATTTTTTGGGGGAGGGGGTTATTATTCTTTTGAATTTTTGGTAATGTTAGGTAGAATTTCACTACCAGTCATATTTTTAACATGTCTAAATCTCAAACTTGGTTCTACATTTTGAAGAAAATACGCATTACTATGAATCGTCGAAATGGGATTGTTCTTCATCCTGCATTGCCTCCATTGGCAATATTGAAAACAAAAAATTTATCGATAAATGTATTTGTTGAACAATATATTAAAAAATATGTTGAACAGTCAACATTTAAATGTAGAGGTATATATGCTTTGGGTCCTTTAGCTTCAAGATTTCGTAACAGCATTTGGTTTACTACTATTGTGATTCGGAAGTAATTTTTCACCAACTGTAGCCCATCATTAGTAGTATGTGTTTTTCCTGTCATAAATGTACGTTTCAAGTTCGGAGCTCCTTTGGAGTAATGAGCCGGAAATTTTGTACTCAATTTGCCCATATAGCAGTGTTATTTAACTGGAGATAGTCTAAAATTGGGAATCCAAGTTTGGTTCTAGTTAATGGGAATCTTCATACAAACTTTTTTGGTTCTCATATTGTGTGTCGGGGCCATTTGTTAATTCCAATTGATAATAGGGAACTAAAATGATGTGCAGTTTTCGTAAGTTGCTGAATATTGGTCTTTTCCAGATTTGTCTTTGAATTCTTTTTTTTTTTTTTAAAGAGAGAGAAAGAGAGAAAAAGAATCTTTTTTAATATTTATTTTTTAGTTTTCTGCGGACACAACATCTTTGTATGTGGTGCTGAGGATTGAACCCTGGCCGCACGCATGCCAGGCAAGCGCACTACCACTTGAGCCACATCCCCAGTCCTGTCTTTGAATTCTGACCACATAGTATACCTAACCAAAACTCCTGTTGTACTCAGTATGTACCATGTAGTATTTTCTTTTTTTAGATGGTTGGAAGTTCATGTGTACTCTGGAAGGTAGTTCCATTAGTAAAACAGTTTAATGGCTGAGTGCTATGAAGCCAGAAATGGATTGAAATTGGTAGAGAACTTTTTAGTTTTTATAGTCTATTTTTTTTTAACTTTTAAAAAAATGCCTCTATTTTGTTTATTTTTATGTCATGCTGAGGATTGAACCCAGTGCCTCACACATGGCTAGTCAAGTGCTCTGCCGCTGAGCTATACCGCCCCAGCCCTTATATTGTAATTTTTAACTGTCATTTTTTATTGTTTCAATATGCTATTATATTAAGACAGTTACACGTCTTTAAGTCCTTGTAAAAGTAAGAGCCATGTAAATTAACTTAGTAGTATGTTAACTAGTATTGACATGTATAGATTTGTAGTAAGACATTTTTCCTACTTCGTGATGCCCCTGGCACAAGCATTGTATCAGAAATTGGTCCCAAATTTTGTTGTAGAATTTCCACGTGATTCCACTAGTGTGTTAAGTATCCTTTATTATTGGGATTGAACCCAAGGGCGCTTAACCACTAAGTCACATCCCCATCCCTTTTTTTAAAAATATTTATTTTTTAGTTGTAGTTGGGCACAGTACCTTTATTTAACTTGTTTATTTTTGTATGTGGTGCTGAGGATCAAACCAGGGTTTCCCACATGGGAGGTGAGCGCTCTACTGCTGAGCCACAACCCCAGCCCCCATCCCTTTTTGTATATTACTTAAAGACGGGGTCTCAAGGAGTTGCTTAGGGCCTTGCTAAATTGCTGAGGCTGGCTTTGAACTCACTATTCTCCTACCTTAGCTTCCTAAGCCACTGGGATTATAGGCATGCACCATTGCACCCAGCCCCTGGCCTAGTTTTTAATGGTAACTTTATCTAGTAAGGAAAATTGCTGATTGTACTTTTTTCAAAATTTCTTTATTGTTTTTTTTTGTTTGTTTGTTATTTTTCCATGCGAAC